GATAGATAGATAGATAGATAGATAGATAGATAGATAGATAGATAGATGAGAGAAAGGAAGAAAGCAAGCAAGCAAGCCATTTATGTTTTGATTATTCTGGGAGGCCTCCCAGCACTGTAATAAGATGGCTTCTGTTACATTTGTAGTAACTAGGATTTTATTTTACTAGGACACTCTCTGGGGTGTCCAGCAATGACTGCCTAGTTTGTGGGCTCCATCCCCCTTCTCCCCCTCTTGTAGAGTATTACTAAACAGTACGAAGGAGATGGAACCCGTGGACATGCAGAGTTGTCCATTCTGCTCATTTTTGGCTAGCTCTGATTCACCAGGATCTAGGTGGAAGTAAGGTTGGGAGAGTCACTGTGGATTTTATGAACCCCTTTGTTTGTTTGTTTGCTTGCTTGTTTTTCTAGACAGGATTTCTTTCTGTAGCCCTGGCTGGCCTGGATTTGCCCACAGGTGAGACTGGCTTGGAACTCAGAGATGCTCCTGCCTCTGCATCCTGAGTGGTGTGTGTCACCACGTCCAGCCTTTTTTTTTTTTTTAAACAAACCATTAATAATTACTGTTAATATCTTTCAGTTGTAATCAATACCCAGAGCTATTTGAGGTGAGGAAGAAGAACCAAAGCAGTGGTTTTCCATAGTTTTTGTACCTCACTGGACCCCTGAGACAGTCCTACGAGCAAGCAGGTTGATTGCAACTAGACAGCTCCCGTAGTGTGCTTGGCTCCCAGCCCTGCACGGGCCGGCCGTAGAAACGCAGTGCTCCTTATGCAGTGCCCGAGGCGTCCTCGTGCCCGAGGAGTGCTCATGCCCGAGGCGTGCTCGTGCCCGTGGCGTGCTCATGCCCGAGGCGTGCTCGTGCCCGAGGAGTGCTCATGCCCGTGTGCTCAGCACAGCTCTGCAGCACCGCACCGTGATGTGATGCTCCCCGCTTTCCATTACAGGTCCTGAGCAGCATGGCTGTGCCCGGTGTCAGACTGCTCACGGGTGCTCTGAGAAAGCCAGATGCCTGGACCCGACTCTGGGGTGCGATTCAAGGGACATCGTCACACAAACTTTGCGCTTCCTGGAACCGATACTTATATTTTTCCAGTACCAAGTTAAACACATCAAATTATAAAACACATTTCCGTAACATTTTCTCTCTGCGACTCCCAGAGCTTTTAGTATCTCCAGAATGTATTTTTCCATTTTCTATACGACTCAAAAGCAATATAAACTCCAAAAACTCTACTAAAAAGAGCCTGCAAAAAGATGCAGATGAAGAGGACTCGGATGAGGAGACCAGTCACCCCAAGAGGAGTGGGACGGAGGAGGAGCTTGAGGAGGAGCCTGGTGCAGTCAAGGACTACAAAGACCTGGAGAAAGTGGTACAGTCTTTCCGGTATGACATCATCCTCAAGACAGGCCTTGATATTGGGAGAAAGTGAGTATGACGCGCATGGCGCCGTGAACCACCTGTCTGCCTAGTGTGACACCATGTGCCAGTCACTTGGCCTCTGTCACGGGGAGTAATAACCGTAGACGTGACAGGACTTTACAGGTGACCCACTCCATTTATGTCACTTTACAGATGGCAAAACTGTGCTTTCACACACACGACTGGTGTGCTGTGAGCCGTTGATTTAATGACAGATTTCTGGTTTTTTTCTCCACAGTGCTGGGGATCAAACCCAGAGCCTTGTACATGGTAGGCAACTGTTCTACCACTGAACCATGCCTCTGTCCCTAGTAATAACCTCCTAAAGGGAAAGCATGTATAGCTACAGAAAACCACTGGGATTTCCTATATACTTGAGCATGAGAGTGTACATCCCAGAGTCACCAGGAGGAATAGGAAGTGACAGTTAGGAACGCAGGTCCTGGGGCTAGCATGTTAGCTCAGTGGTTAGTACCTGTCATCAAGTCTGACAACCCGAGTTCAGTTCCTGGGATCCACAGAGTGTAAGGAGAGAACTGACTCTCAGAGGTGTCCACAGACATATGTGCCATGGCACACGGACCCAGTCACTCACTCATAAACACACACACACAAAACAGTTTCTGGGCCACTGAGGTGGCTCAGTGGGTAAAGGTGCTTGCGTATAGACATGTCAACTCAACTCTGGTTCCTAATCCAAAAAAGGAGCAAGAGAGGGCTGGTTCCTGAGGTTGTCCTCTGGCCTGCATAAACTATGGCATGTGTTCTCACAAACACACACAAAAGAACACAGTCTGAGCACCTGTGAGGCTAGGTCAGGAGACAGAGTCCAAAGCCAACCTGAACTACATATCGAGGGTCTCTCTCAGACTACTAGTAAGCAACCTTCTGCATGTACTGAAATGTCCCTGCTGTGAGCAGGACTGAGAGAAGCTGTTTTAGACAGTAACAGCAGGTTCCTTTAAAAAATGGATTAACTGCCCATGTGTGGCAGGCAGGCCATGCAGACCCTATTGTGTGGATGTGGGAGACTGCTTTGTGCAGTTGGTTCTGTCCTTGCAGCTCTGTAGGTTCCACCTCTGAACCCCCTTTTTACCCTTTAAAGCCACATTACCACTCTACAGCCCATGCTGGCCTACAACTTACTGAAACCCCCCTGCTTCCGCCTCCCAAGTGCTGGGATGCAGGTATAAGCAGGTAGGATTAAGGTCTGTGTACCTAGGCCTAGTGTTCAGAAGGCTCTCGTGCATGGATTTGAGCTGTTACAAACCGTGTCACATAACACCGTGTCACATGCAGTGCCTACACAGAGGTCGAAGGGTAGATGTTGGGGTTCCTTTAGTGCGGTCTTTCTCTCTGCTGCGTGCTGGTTTCTGGTAGTGACCCGGCCACTTGTTCACTCTTTGGTCTGTCATTGAAGGGGTGTGTGTACACAGGTAAGAGCAAATTCAAGATGTCCTTATGTGATTTGTGTCTTTTGTGGCATCATTCATTGTGTAGTTTACTGTTTAAATTCACAGAACATAAAAGACAGTGGCCACTGCTGTGAGCATCCTCATCAGGATTGCTGGTTGCTAACATCTGGCTGTTCTCTAACATCTGGCTAACTCCTCTAGGACCTGGATACTAGCCGCTCCCTTTATTAAGCCAAGCCAGACGTCAGTCATCTGCAGTTAGGTCACCAGAAGGAAAGGTGGTGTCTGTTATCCTCCTCTGGTCATGGGGGTTACATTCAGAGGTGAATGGCTGTCAGTGCACACGGGCAGTTCCCTATGCGCAGGCACCTGAGGGGCAGGAAGCGCCCACTCATTCTGACCACTGTGACTCACTGAGCTACTGCCATGCAGTTGCTTCTAAAAACACCATAAACCCCACGCCACAGCCACTTGCCTGAGAAGCAGCGCCTTTTAAGTACCCTTTGGTCTCCCCTGTCAGGATACGGTAAGTGATGGCGGCTTTCACTTCATGTCTTTACTTTCGCTCAAAGCTCAGGGTGTTGTGGGGATTCACTGAGTAGACGCTAACCACAGCTGTTTTCCTCAAAGCTGTGTGATTGTTGAGTGTATTTAAATTTTAAGTGGTTTTTTTTTTTTTCTTCTTTTTAATAGCAAAGTAGAAGATGCATTCTACAAAGGTGAACTCAGACTGAATGGGGAAAAATTGTGGAAGAAAAGCAGAACGGTGAGCCACTCCGCCGCCATGACAGCCCCACCACCCTGTCTGTTGCTCTGGTACTTAGTGCTGTCCCCAACTCCCCCATGGGCCCTGGCGCCTTCTCTGAGGTCCTCAGAGGTCCTGGTCACGCTGGCGGGAACCACCTACAGGCCACTGTCCCTTCTCAGCCATTGAGACCTTATGAGTAAGAGAAATTTGGAATCAGCCACCCTCAAGACTGCAGCCATCCTTACTCAGAGGTCCGTGATATTAACATTAGCCCCATGGAATCATGGCAAGGAGATGACAAAGAGAAAGGTCGCCTGAGAGGCGTCACCTGAGCAGGGGTGTGACTCTGGTCACTTCAGCAGAAGCTTTCTCTCCCTGTAGCTCTGCTTTCTGACAGGCAGCTGGCAAAAAAGATGCCCCATGTTTTCCAACAAGTCCATATTAACACTACTAATTGAAAGCCATCAAGCCAGGGTGATGACATCTGTCACCCCAGCACTGGTAAGGCTGAGAGGTTAGAACATGAGTCCCTCGTCAGCCAGGGCTGCACAGTGAGACCGTGTCTCAAAAAATAAACTACACAAAAACCCCAACTGATAAAAGAATGTACTTCCAATATTTGCTTTGTAACAAGTCTCTCTGTATGTGTGTGTGTCTGTGTGTCTCCCTCTCCCTCTCTCTCACTCTCTCTCTCTGTCTCTTGTCTCTCTCTCTCTCTCTCTCACTGGCACACTGGAAGGCAGAGTCAGGAGGACTGCCACAGATTGAGCTAGCCAAGTCTGCTCAGCTCATCTGGTTCCAGGCTAGCCAAGACTACATCACAAGAAAACAAAACAATGTATGGATATGCTAATACCCGCTCCACATATTCTGAATTAAATCTTACTCATATTTATCTTAGAATAGATTACTATAGATATATTGTTTTTAAATGTATTTTATTCCGTGCGTTTGAGTGTCTCGCTTATGTGCACATGCACAAGCAGCTCTTGTGGAGGATCCCCTGGTCCTGCGGCTGCAGGTGGTTGCTTGTGAGCCACAGTGACTTCTGGGAACTAATCCAGGGTCCCCTGCAATAGCAACAGGCAGCTGACAAGAAGATGCTCTTAACTGCTGAGCTGCCTCTCCAGCCTCTTCATGTCTTTTCTATTTTGAATTTTGTTTTCTAAATTTATTTTATGTATATAAATGCCTGAAGATACGTCTGTGCATATCTGTGCCTGCTGCCCACACTGGCCAGAAGAGGGGACCACGTCTCCCAGAGCTGGAACTAAGGATGGTTGTGAGCCACTATGTGAGTGCTGGGAACCAAACCCCGTCCATAAGAGCAACAACTGCGCATAGCTGCTGAGCCAACTCTCAGCTCTCCTCTGTTAGGAGAGCTTCATGGCTTTTATTTTCCGGCTTCACAAAAGTGTATTTAGTGTGGGAATGGGAGTGTAGGGACAAGCATGTCACAGCATGGGTGTAGGTGGAGGTTAGAGGACAATTGGAAGGAGTGGCTTCGTTCCCTCCATGTTGGTTCAGGTTGTCAGGCATTGCTGCAGGTGCCGAGCTGCCTCATCCTCCCTCTGAGATACAGATAATGAATTCTTGTGTGATTGAGACAGGGTCTCACTATGTAGACGAGGCTGGCCTGAACTCAGATCTGCCTGCCTTTGCCTCCTGAATGCTGGGATTAAAGGATATTCTACCATGAGATTATCACTTAACAAAACTCAGTAAGGAAGATGTAAGAAATCTTTGATGAAAAGTTTGAGAGCAGGACAGGGACGCAGCTCCCTGGTAGGGTACCTGCTGAACATCACAGGAGCTCTAACCCAGCTCCCTGGTAGGGTACCTGCTGAACATCACAGGAACTCTAACCCAGGCAGGCAGAAGGGTCAGAAACTCAAGGGCATCCCCACAGAGTGAGTCTTAGGCCAGCCTGAGATACATACCTGTCTGGGCACAGAGGGTGGCTTAAAACCCAAGGCCCTTCCTTAGAAGCATAACCTATTAGCCTTGAGGGGTAATGAGGAGGCGGGCGGTTTTGGAGGGTGCTTTTTATTTTCCTTTCATGTTCCAGAGGCCTGCTAGGGCAGGATCCAAGCTACCTCGAGTTGCCTTGGGGTGTAGAACACTAAGTATGTCATGTGCGCGTCGGGGAACATTGAGACTCCTTGCTCCTAGGATCATGCAGCCCTCTGCTGCTGCCTACATGGACAGAAAGAGGAGAGTCGGACTCCATTCTTGTCTCAACTGTTAGTCGAGGCCAGGGAGCTCTGCTAACCTTGGGTGGCAGGTGCAGGATGACCCGGCAGCCATTGTCGTAAAGCTGCACAAAGCCATGCTCCAGATGGGCCCTTCCCACCCTGCTCTAGTGCTCTCTGGACTGTGGCTGGACTGCCTTCTCTACTGCACCTCTGAGCACCCCTCCTGGCTGGAGCCTCATTTGCAAACTCCATAAGCCTGTTTATCTTCCCCTGCTTTGAGGTATTGTTAACTACAGCCTAATTGCTCTGCTTCTTGTGCCTTGGGTGTTCTGTTGTCTCAGCCGCTTTCCAGATTTCTCCTGAGGGTCAGCAAAGGCAGAGGCCAGTATTAACACTCTGCTGCCTTGTTACTAGGAGGCCTGGTAGCCATAGAAACTGCAGCTAAGTGGAGATTTGCAATGTAGATATTTGAAACAGCCCCTAATCCCAGCCAGTTTGGCTTTGTGTCTGAGAGGACCAGGCCTTGGATGGGACTAAATAAAGCATGCCTGCTTCCCCAGCCTGCTCCATGGAGCCAGTGCCTGGCTACAGGCCCTGCAGGTCCAGCTTGTCCTGTGCTGCAGCTCAGTCCCCTACTCCCCACCTGCCACTGAGCAGAGCTTTTGTGTGTTCTGCAAGCTAGGTGGGGTGCAGAGTGCACAGTGCTGCGGTCACCCTGCTCTGACATGGTGAAAACGTGGTGAAACATGAATGTTTCTCAAGAAACATTCTTTCTTGAGAAGCGAAAACATGGGGACTTACCCTGTCTTAAACTCACCTCCCAGGGGTCTGCTGGGCTAAGAGGAAACATTGAGCCCTAGAAGGAAGAAATGCCATCGCTTTCTTTCCTTTCCCCTTCTAAAAACATTTTTATTAGCACATATTAATTATTCATGATAACATTTCATTCTGGCATTTCCATGCATGCGTATGATGTGTTTTGATTGTATTCACCTCCCCATTAACTTCTCTTGTGCCCCACACCCCTGACTTACTTCCTTTCTCCTTTATACTCTCTTGAAGTTTCTCCTCCTCTCCTTCCTCTTCCTCCTCTTCCTTTTTCCCTCCTCCTCTTCCTTTTTTTTTTTTCTGTAATATGATCTCAACTAAAACTTGCAGCAATCCTCTGCCTCAGCTGGGTTTATATGGTTGCTCATGCCTATAAAGTAAATGTTTGGGTTGGTGAGAGGGCTCAGCAGATAGAGAGGCTTGCTGTCAAGCCTGACAACCGACGCTCCATCCCTGGACCCCGTGTGGTTGAAGGAGAGCACCAGCTCTGCAGAGTTAGATCTCACTTTCCTCCACACAGGCCTTGGCCACATGTGTGCCCCACACCCCAAAATAAATGGTTTCAATACTTTTAAGTTAGGGGCTCAAGAGATGGCTCAGCAACTAAAAGTGTTTGCTGCTCCTTCAGAGGACCCCAGTTTGATTCCCGGTACCACATGGTGGCTCACAACTGCCTGTAATCCAATTCCAAGAGAGCCATTCTATCTTTGACTTCCAAGGGAACCAGTCATGCACATAGCATCTAGACATCCATCCAGGAAAAATGCCCATACATAAAATAAATCTAAAAAAAA